ACTAAAAAATATAGCTTTATTATTAATATCATTTGCACGCCCCCCCCCCCCCCCCCTATTAGATGTGTTCACACCCTAAATATTGTGCAAAATGATTTATAAAATAAAAAATAAAATACTTTGAGCCATTAAATCAAGATCTAACTTATGACATTGTGATTGAAGTCATCCTAGATGTCCATTCTGATTTGAAAGCATAAGAACATGTATCATACATATTTTATATATAGGTGGCCCCACATGTAAAACTTCTTCTTTAAAGATATGGTAAACCAGATCAAAATTACCAGCCAGGGACACCAACTTAACTTGAAACAAGAATAAGCAATGAAAAAATCCCCAATACCTCAAACAATTCATCTGATATGAGCCCCATCCCATGAGCAAATGGAACTAACTGGGAATCAAACTCAACATCTGTGCCTGGATTGCCCACCAAGTAACCCTGAAAGCCATAACTGACAAATTAAAAACCCTCTGATATCATAAGAATACAACATTTTCATTGCAAATCATTTCCTCATTTGAGATTGCAAACCTTGAGATTAAAAACAGGTCGATAACCGGAATCAATGCCTGCAACAACACCTCAATCAAAGAAATCAAGCATGACACATCATTTCTGCTTAAAACAACTTTAGGAGAGAGAGAAAGAGAGAGAGTAATGTGGGGGTACCATTGGCTATTTCATAAGTTAAGACTGGGACAGTTATTCCTGAGTAGGAATCCCCTGCAATGTAAAGTGGGTTTGACAAGAATTCTGGGTATTCAATGAACCACTGTTGTACACATGACAAAACTGTATATTACCAGTCATCATAATGTAATGACGAAAGGTCGTTATAAATGTTGACTGTAGAGTTTACTTACATTGGTCAAAAATTTAAGGAGATCTTTCACAGTCTTGGAATCGCTGGTGGCATAGTCTCCAGGCGTCTTGGAATATGAAAACCCAGTTCCAACTGGTGAATCCACGTATAATATGTTGGCAACCTGAAGATGAATATAGTTTGAGACAATGTTTAAACAATCGACTCGACCGAGGTATCGGACCTTGGCCGAGGCTAGATACCCGTCGAATCCAAAAACGCCGGTCTTAGAGGTGAGCAGTGAGATACCTAGGTATAGTACTTTTATATCAGTACATAAACCATTTTGTATTGAATAATAATATAGTTATCTAATAAAATGTGCGAAATTAAACTTCCCACTGACCTTAGTAGTGGTAGCTCTTACTGTAATTTGAATGTTTGGATCCCGATGTGGAACCTCATGTGCTAAGGTTTTGCATCATTTTCTATATTAATTTCTCTTTTTTTTACATCATCATAATTTTTTTCTAATTAATTGGGGTCGTATTCATAAATCTTGATCCGTCATTCTGCTCTACTGTAGGATAGAATTTATGATAAATTTTGATAAAATTTTGCGTAGGCTGCTTAACTAACACAATCTCGGTTCAAATTGGATCTTGGAAATTCAGATCCAGATCTGGATCTGAATAGTATTCATTGGATTTGGATCCAAACCCGAATCTGAATAGTATGTATCGGATTCAGAACAGAATTGAATTATGTATATACTATTTTAAAAAAAAATTATATATATAAAATAAAAAAATTACTATTTAAAAAACTGGGTTGGATCCGAATTTGGATCTAAATTGGATCTACCTACACTTGTGTCCGATCTGAATTTCAATTCGGATCTGACTTTTGGATCCGAATCAGGATTTCAGATCTTACCGAAAACCGATTAAAGTCCAACATCCCGGTTTCAAATCTAGATCGGGTCAACTCTCACCCCTGTACTAGGTGGTCAATACATATCGAAGCTGGATTGGTGTTGACATGCGAGACATGGGAATAGCCCATATGTCAAAGTAGCACGGGATGTGAGACAAAAAAAGAAATTATCAGAAACGATGAAAAATGAAATTATCAAAACCAAAAAAAATAACATACCTTGGTCCAAGAATGAGGGTTGAGTTGAAGAGCAGGTACAGTTCCATCATATTCCACCACCTTAAAGCGTAGAGGGCCTGCAACTAGAAAGGTTGGGAATCAGTGGAGAGATGGTAAAGGTGCATTAAGAAGAGAGGCCATGCAACACGTCCATCGAGCAGAGCACACCCCGGCCCGACCTTTTATTTTAAAATAAAATAAGCTCAGTTTTTCTTAAAAATAACATTTGCAGTCCCAAGTCGGCTCAAGATCAGGACCCAAGTTATTCCAGTTTTGAGGAAACGTGGAGTCACCCTAATCCTCTAGGTTTTTTACTTTTTTAAATGTTTTATTTTAAGTAGTGTCAAAAATAACATGTCGATACAGATCAAAATTGAGCAATCTGGATTGAAAATCGGTGGAACTGGTATGGTTTTCAGTCAGTACCAAGAACGCCAATTCCATACAGAACTGGCCGGCTCTTTGATCCGACTATGGAAACGCCCAAGTCGGACAACATGAATCAGAATGAAACCATGGCTACTTAGATGAATTCTAATTTTTGAGACATTGTCTTAAAATACATTCAAAGTTTTAAATGGGTGAGTAAGATGGCATTAAATTTGAGTAATAGCTACTGGGATTCACATACACTAACCATTAAAAACATATTTTATTAGTTAAATATTGTTTGTACTTATATATAGATTATGGTTTGTATAAAGTTGCAAGTAGAAATAGAGATGCATTGTTCTACCCGTCTATTTTAAATCAAGCGGTATATATTTGATGTCTTTTAAAACAATATTCAAAAGTAGCATATGCAATATCAAACCTACACTATCCAAATAATATGGACGGTTTGGATTACTTAAACCATAGTTCTATAAGTAAGGTTGCACAATTATATCGACTTTTACCTTAAATATATGCTCCAAATATGTCTTAAAAACTATTAAAAAATAATAAATATAAAATTCAATATCCATTACCTCTAACATATAAAACCAGTGACAAGACATCCGGCATTTCGGATTAGGAAGGGCGATCTAGACTGGGAATCGATCAAGATTAACATGGTTCCTTGTTGGAACAGGGAATCGGTCAGGTTCTTTTGGAATTGCTCGTTTACCTTAGGGAACTGGGTAGTTCATACAAACCAGATTGCCACACACAATATATTATCTTATGCCTTTTTCTTTTTTTCTTTTATAGCTTTATGTTGTAAAATTTTGTTTATTATGATTATTTGAGCTTTGGGGTATGTTAAGCCCCAACATTTGTTATATAATTTTAATATTTTTTGTTATTATAACAATAATATAATTTTAATATTTTTTATATAAATTCAAATAGCATGAAATTTAGAACATAAACTATTCCCATCAAGGCGCACATAATAAAAATATTAAAAAAAATAATTTACATAAATAAATTAACCCAAAATACCCTTTGAAACTTTTAAGGGGTATTTTGGCTAATTTAATTTATACGAATTATTTTTTTCATATTTTTATTAGGTTCGACTAATCTTGAAGAATCGGCTATCCAAATTTCAAGTAATATGGATTTTTAGAAAAAAAAACTAAAATTCAATTAACGAAATACAATTGTGACCATTGGATTGGTCCAGATTCAATCTAGGCCGTTGGGCTTACACTGTTCCATGAGCCCATGGGCTCATATGAGCTTCTATGGGCTCATATGAGGTTCCATGGGCTCACATTCCATATATATATATACTACACAACACCTATAGGAAAAAATGAACAGTGTTTTAGCCCATATGCTCGGCGCCGTTTGATTTTTTTGAACGACATGGAATAAAATACTGCAACCAACATAGTAGGTCCGTTGCGGTAAAAAGACCACACGAAAACTGCCACAGACCAC